TTACTCTAGCTCCAGAGTCTGTCCTAGCCCACCCAGCATGTAGTCCTGGGCCAGTCTGGGTGTCAGGCAGTTCCCCTGACCAGCTGCTAGTAACAAGAAAAATGGGGAGAGCTGTCAAAGCCCTGACACTGGTTTTACTGGTACTTAGGTGAGCAGGAAGCTCAGGCTCCCCAGGGCATCAGCAGGACCAGCTAGGTGAACCAGGTGGCAACTGATTGCCGCTGCAGCCAGTAAGCAGTCCTGAGTGGCACTGGATGGGGGTGGGGGCTTAGCTGGGAAATGGGTTCAACCTGTTTCCATAGCAACACTTCCATTCCCTGAAAATGCAGAACTCCAAGATGTCCCAAGATGGCCAACAGGGGCACAGCCTGGTGCCTGGAAGCATAGGGACATTTTTCTTTTTCCATTCTTCTCAGACCCCCTCTTTTGCATAAAGAGTTTATGTCAATTACAAAACCCAAAGAAAACCATCAACAAAAACCAAAGTCAGAGAGCTGGCTTCCCAGGACTCCCAGACCCACAACAGGATGTGAGATAGCAGCCCCACTGCAGGGCCTTTGCACAGGCTAGTCCTTCTGCTACAGTGCTTGTCCTGACACCCCTCACACCAAATTTGCCAGGCTGCTGCTCAGATATCACCTCCTTGCGAGGCTTCCCTGACCCCTGCTCAGCAGCCCCTCACGCACACAGACCCTTCTGGCTCCACGTCCCAACATGTGCCATGGCCCAACATTTCCTACTGAGCCAGCTGTTCTGTCTCCTTGCTGGGGACAGAGGAAGCCGAGGGCCAGAACACTGTGGGGCAGTGCCTCACCAGTGCTCAGCAGCCACTGGAGGACAGAGGTTGAGTGGGCAACCATCCCTCGCGCCCTCTGCCCAGTGCCTCCTGCCACCCGTGCTGCCAGCCTCTGCTCCCCATGCCCTCCAGCCTCCATGTGGCTCTAGCGGCTCCTTTCCTGAACCCCCAACGGGCCACCTTATCCTCTGACCATCACTACTGTCACCCCACAGCCTCCAGTGCTACAGACTGCTGTACATGCTGCCAGTGCCTGAGCTACACCAAGAACTCCCTTGCTGCCTGGCCCAGGGAAGAGTGGAGGGGACCAGAGTGGAGAGAACAGGGTGGGCAGTGGACTCACTACTCCGACTGCCCAAACCCCATGGAAGCAGGCCTGTCAGGACCTGATGCAAGCCCTGTCTGCCTAGCTCCAAAACTCCACCATCCCCACCTCTGGAGTGCTCCTCTAGACCGTGCACCCCTTCCTTCCGATGGGAGGTCCCCATCACTCCCCTCACCTCCCTGCGATGGCACCTCCCAGCCTGCAGCTCCAGGCAGGGGATAAGCGTCCAGCCTGTTCTTGCTGGCGCCTACTGGGCATGTGACAGGGAACCAAGCACAGGGCCACGGGGTCCCTTGAGGATCCCTGAGCTCCAGCTCATCTGAATACTCAGAGTCTCAGGTTCCCCCTAAGCTGCCTTCATCAGCTCAGTGACACTACGGCCTCTCAGTGCCTGTCGCCCGGACACCAAGACTGCCTGCTCTGGGACAGGACCAGCAAGATACTCTCCCCACCCTCCCTGCAAGCTGTGCAGGGCCACGGGAGAATGGGAGGGGGCCTGGACAGATGGTGGCAGAGGAAGTGTCAGCACAAAGGGGAGCAGGGAGGGCAGCCCCCACCCTAAAACATGCCCCTCCCCTGTGGACTGCCCCCCAACTACCCCACAGCCTAGAACCCGGGTGCACTTACACATCGGTCTCATCCCACAGGATGCAGGTCTGGTTGGTTGTGCCCTGGGAGAGAAGGGGACAGTCAGGGCCATGTGCCCTCACACCCAAAGGTCACTGGCCAACCACCCACAGGTACACTAGGCCCTGCCTATGTGGCTCCCTGAGAATTAACACATTTGGGAAGGCAGAGGCCCAGAACACAGAAGGGGCTGGACACAGTCATTCAGGCCCAGCTCAAACCCTACTGTCCACTAATTCTCAGACAGCTCCTGTCCCCTTTTAAGCCCAGTGGTGATAGCCAGCGGGGCCATGTGACCAAAGCCCAGCTCTGATGGGGTAATGGGAAGACCCTTACCAGAGAGTGAGTGGGCAAGGTGGGCTCCACAAACACCCCTATCCTGCTCATGTCCCTGGCCCCACAGGCATACCCAGGAATGCTCCAGGACACTGCCTCTACTAGGCCTGCTGTGCCAGTGGGATTCATGCTACTTAGAGAAAAAGACTCTGCATTTACAAGGCCAAGTTAGTCTTTACCCATGTGACAAGGGAGAGAACCAAGGCACTGAGAGATTGAGAAACTCCACCAAGCTGGCAAGGATAGGGCTGGGTTCTTCCTATGGTTTCCCACAGCCCTGGCCTGGGATTAGTGGTGTGACACTTCCCTGACCTGAGCAACAACTCCCTTGATACTCCTGGCTGAGATCATTCAGGAGCCCTAGCCAATAGGGCTAGAGGAGTTTTGACTGTCACTTCCCTGGATGAGGTCTGAGAGTCCCCAGGATCTCCCTGGAGTCAGTTGCCTCCCCAGGGCCAACCAGGCATCCCTGCACATTTGAACTTTGAAAGTCTTACCAGTCTAGGGTCACAGAGCAGCAGGGCCTGAAATAGAGGCACCTGTCCCAGGGGGTTCTGGGAGGATGCTTTCGGTGCTACAATCCCAGGGGATCTGCAGGGCTGGACTTGGCAGTCTGCTAGGGTTCCAGCAGAGGGGCCCCCACTTCCTAGCCTCAAGGGTACCCTGGGCATGGAAAGGGAGGCGTTCGGTAGGTGGCCAAGACTGCATGCACAGTCAGACAGGAGCCCTTGAGCACCTGGAACACTTACATTGTACATGTGGGCAAACTCGATCTCCAAGGGTGTGAACAGGGAGCGGGGTGGAGGCTTCACAGTCACAGAGATGACCTTGGAGTTCAGCACGGTCGTGTTCCTGGCAGGACAGATTGGCAGCAGTGTCATGGACCCAGCCTGGGTCCGCTTGCCTGCCACCCTTGCCACCTCCGTGCAGCCCACCCTCCACCTCCTCTCACCCTGGCCTGCCCCTTGCTCCCATGGGGGCTCCGGACCACCCTGCCTGCCCACACTGCCCACCTCTGCAGAGCCAAGAAGCTGCCCAGATTTCGATAAAGCACGGTGCCGACTACGAACACAGATGAGTCATCCGCCTCTGGAAGGGAGCACCTGGTCACCCGACCTGAGCTTCTGCCCGGCCAGCCCTCTTAGGTCTCCTCCCCCACCCGCAAATGCACACCCAGGGCCTTCAGCAGCTGGGAGAGGGGAGAACGGCTGGTCCTCCCCAAATAACCCAAGGGCTGTGGCAGGGCCAGGACTGGCTTCTCTGCTGGAAACTAGAGCCTTGGTCACCAAGATTCAATGGCCTCTGCCTCTCCCACAGTGCCTGGTTCACCTGTCCACTTGGCTCAGCTCACCAGGCCCCAGGAAAGCGGGGAGGGCTTCCTGGAGGGTGCTAGCTGGAAGCCAGAGGAGTAGCAAGGATGCCGCCCTGCCTCTTGAGGATTGGGCTGGACCCTGGGGGAACCTCCCAGGGTGTCAGACTCTGGGCCCAAGTTTCTGGCTTCCTGGGCCTCACCTGCCAGGCCTGTGGAGAAGACACTCTTGGATACTGTGACCCTGTCCTCCGGCACCTTGGCCCAGTCACCAGTGGCCCGCCAGCCCTTCATGGGGAAGCTGATATCAGTGGCACTGCTGGCAGGAAGCTTATGGATGCTAAGGACTGGGGCAGAAGAGACAGAGACAATCACACTAGGAGCCTGTGGGTCCAGGACTGCTGCTGGGGATGACCTCGCACTCTCCCAAAGCCCTTGCCACTTAGGCTGCAGACCCCAACTCCTACAACCTGGAGAGGCAAGTCCCCAGAGCCTGTGGGTCATAGACAGGGACTGTGAGGGACAGCAGGCATGGCCACAGTCCCCAGAGGGCAGGCCCTGGCTTGTTCTTGATGAGATCCACAAGGGTCCTACCCAGCCTTGCAGGACCCAGACTCAGACTCCAGTCCCCATGTCCCGGAAAGGGTCAAATTTGAGTCAGGGGTCTGTCTTACAGCCATAGAAGGATCCACAGGGAGCCCTTTCAGGGACACAGGCCTGATGCCTCTCAGTGTTATGACTGCTCTCTCACTTTCTCACACTGTTACATGGGGTGGGTAGAACCTGGAGGAATGGTGGCACCCAGGTGGGGTTTGGGGCAACTAAGCTTCTAGCCTCTGCAAAGCATAGGTGGGCTCTGTGCTCAGGGTTCCTGTGGAGGGGCAGTGGGTATGGAGAGGAACTGGGGATTGACAAGCAAGCTTGGGAAAGTGTGGCTGGGAGAGAAGTCAGTGGTGCTGGGCCCTCTGCCTATCCCCAGGGCCTGGCCAAGCCCTAGTCTACCTCAAAAACAAGGCCTCTTGTGTTTGAGCTCACAGACTCAACCTCATGGTCCATGTGCTGGGCCCCTGCCTACCACTCCTGTGCACACAGGGCCAAGGACGGGGCTGGAGGACAGAGGGAGGGCCTTCCTCAGACATGTGGCTTCTGTGGTCCCCTTCATCCACTCTGAGCAACACTGCCCCCTTCCCCCAGAGCCTCACATCCTGGCCTGGGGCTACTCACACAAATGTGGGGAGAGAAGGGGCTGGGAGGCTCTGGTGGCCCTCATGGAACTCTGGGTTGCTACAGGCTGTTCCTGCCCTGCCCTGCCCACACCTTTGTCAGACCAGGTATTTTGCTCTCTCTGCTGCCCTGGCCCTGCCTTGGCTCTGCTGACTCCCCTACTCCCTGCCTCCATGGACCTGGTCCCCTCAGGGTCTCTATAAGAGGCCCAGAGATAGGACTGGTCCCCCTCTCTGAATTTTAGTACCCAATGCAGCCGTCCCTTACTGCTGAGTGTGTTGCTATGAATGGTCAAATTCATGTGCTAGGCCCACCCTGGGAAGGCTCTAAGAAGGAGCAGTGGACACACACACCCCTTCTGAAGTATACACTGAGCGGGGAAGGTAGGAGTGACCACGGCAGGTGATGACATTTCCCAGCAGTGCAGTGGGGAAGTCCTCCCTTTGGTGGTGACTTTGGAGAGCTGAATGGTAAGTGTTCTGGGCCAAGATCTAGGAGAAGCACATTCCAGGACAGGGAAAGGACGTGTCCTTGAGGGAGGGAAGTGGGAGGGGTGAGGAGTGAGGGACAGAGTGCAGGAAGAAGGAGGGGCCACCTTGCTGCAGCTGGGGAGGGGTCAAGGGCACTGAGAATGGCCCTTTTATAGATGGTCTTGCCTTAGCAGTGGAAAGTGAGGAGGCACACAGGCAGAAGTAAAGTGACTTCAAGGTTCTGGAAGGAGCCCCAACTCAAGTGTTGTGCGTGAAAGCCTTTTAGACATCCCAGGCAACAAGAGATGCTGGATCTGGATGCAGAGAGTGGTGGGCAGGAGTGAGTTTCAGGCCTGGGAGGGGAGAAGCCCAGGGAGTCTGGGCCTGCTTCCTGGGGGTGCAGGTGGGGAAGAGACCAGTGGTGAAGGGAGAGGGATGGAGGGAAGGCAGGAGGTGGCCAGCAGTCAGGAGCCACACGCCGCCTGGGGTGGAGCTGAGGGACACCAGGGACTAACTACAGGCTGTGTATGGTGAACATCATACACTGGTGACCTGGACACAGAGCAGAGGCTGATCCTGATGGGGTGGCCTCTGTGAGTACAGGATAGAAGGGGAGCAGAGAGGGTGAAGGACTGCAAAGGTGGGCTCTGGGAGTTGCGAGATAGGGCCACAGGGAAGAGACCTGGCACAATGGGGTCATTTCAGGCAACAGAGCAGGCTGGGTAGGTGGGCCAGGTTGGCACGTCCTATGCTAGTGGCTTCCAGGTTTCAAGGGCCAAGGGTGGGGCTTGAGCAGAGAAGCAGAGTCTGGGAGAGTGGGTGATGGGCTGGAGCAGGCCAGGGAGGGGACACGTTCACACCGAGTAGAGTGTGCAGGGGTGGTTCAAGAGGACAGAAGGTCCAGGTGATGGCAGGCAGAACCCTGTGAGAACAGGTGTTATCAGCTCCTAAGGGAGCTGTGGGACTGCAGATACTGTTCTGACCCCAAAAGGAGTGGGGACAGGTAACAGGATGCAGCCTGGGTGATGCTCCAGAGTGGGGACACCACAGGGCTGTGATCAGATTGGGTCCTGGGGATCGAGGTCCTCAGGGGACAGAGGGCCAGTGCAACGGATATGTGTGTGCAGTCCCTCCAATAAACAGGGTGCTGATGAGAAGCCCATTTTGCCAGGGCCCAGAAAGACCTGGATGAGGGAGAGTGGGGGGTGACGTCTGGGGTCTAAGGACCTCAATTCCAAACTGGTGGTGTGGATGACCTCAGAGGGACACGGAGGAGTGGGGGGGAGGGACCCAGGAGCCCAGGGCACAGGACGAAGGCAGTCTTCCCTCTAAAGACTGTGGAGGTCCGAGTCTTGGGAGACAAGGGATGGCCAGGGCCATGGCAGTGGGGTTACCTGATGACTTACACTGGGTGAGTGAGAGGGGCTGTGGGGTTCATGAGGGGATGAGGTGAGTGGAGTACAGAAGCTACAAGGGTAGGAGATCATAGCACATGCAGGGTGGAAGGAGGGCTGCACGGGGTGTGCCAGAGCATGTGGAGTGTGTGGGGTGCTTAGAGTGTGTAGCAGGCATGGGGTGCACTGGTGAATAGGGTGCCAGGCTGTGAAGGTGGCTGGAGGAGCCCAGGGCCTGTGGTGACAGTGGGTGGCTACCCTGAGGGGTCATCGGCTCAGAGTTGGCTCCTGTAGGCTCCAGGGTTGTGAGTCATGCTGGGCTGGCATGGTGAGGTGCTGGGCCAGGAAGACTGAGCCCCTTCCTGGGCCATCCCTATATGGCTGCACCAGAACCCCCTTGTCTGGGCAGTAGCACCTCCCCCAGGAAAAGGGGGCCTGGGAAAGAAAAGGGGGCCCTCAGAAGGCTGGTGCTGTACAAACCACACCAACCCCACTGGCCAGGGCCCTCCATAGCACCCAGCTAGCTGCTTCTGTGAAATGAGGGCTGGGTCCACTGGTCTCAGGGGTACTGCAGCTGATGGAGACCTGGGACCCCAAGATCCTAGGACAGAAAGCAGTGCCAGCACAGGGGGTCAGCTTAAAAAGTGTGGGGACATTTGCCTGGCCCAGGATAGCTCTTTCTGCTACAAATGAAGGGACATTTAGCACAGGGACTAATGAAGTTTGGCCAGTCTCAATCACATCCCTGAAAACTAAGTCTTCCCACTGGGAAGGGGGAAATTTCCCTCCCTGGTACTACTGTATTCCCAGCTGGGGTCAGCACCCACTCCAGGTTCTTCCATGAGGGAAGCTTGGGAAAAGTGGCCTATGAGAAGAATTTGAGGGGACCAGGGCGATGAATATGAAGTAGATTTGCAGTGGACATTGGTAAGGACAGCCACCATCCACCTCCCAGTCCCAGGCTTCAGTCTGTCTCCTCTATCACTCTCCATATCCCTGTAAGGCAGCACAATTACTGTCCCATTCACAAACAAAGGAACTGAGGCTCAGCCAATGCCATGAGCTGGGAGAGTCCAGGCCTCTGATCAGCTGTGAAGGTGCTGAAGTGACAGGGACAAGGAACCCCAGGCCTCAGGGGTGCAGGTGAAGAGTTGGCCGAGGGCTGGTAATGGAGGAGCCCCCCAAACAGGTCTCCAGGTCCTTTCCAGGTCTTATTCTTTCCCAGGGCTCCCACTATGGAGACCACAGAAATCTAGAGCTGACCTTAGATGCCTGCTCAAGAGGGCCCACAGAAGGGTTACATTCACTGCCCCTTGTACAGATGGGGAAACTGAGGCAGGGGCCCTGCCAAGGGCTATAGGGCAGGCACAGAGGCCTGTGGGGAGAGGAGACCTTACCAATGGCTTACCTAGGTTGTCCGTCACCTGGTACGCGTCCCTCAGGTCCTTCATGCGGAAGCCAATGACATCCACAAAATCCTCCACCAGCCTGAAGAGCTCCTTGGCATTGGGGCCCATCTGGGGGAGGAAAAGAAGCCTAAAGGTGGGGGTGGTGCTTGCACTCAAGCTGGGGACCCTGCTTTCTGTACTATAAAGAAGCAGGGCTGGTGGGCTCTGAGGGTCACCTCCAGCACGAGTGGGTCACAAGACCAGGGGCTGCTATGCCTGGGCCCCATTAGTGCTCCTAGGCAAGGGGATGAGGAATCACCAGTGATCCCCAGGGCTGCACACCAGATACTGCCCTGGGGACAGCAGTGGCAGACTAAAAGTCAGCCTCGAAGGAAGGGAGGCTGATCCACCATATCCCAGTCTTCTGGACTCACACTGTGAGATCAACAAAGTTTCCCACTCTCCTTGTTAAACCCCACGGGACAAGGTACTAAATGGAGGCTCACAAGGTTAAGTGGCTTCCTCTAGGTTACCCAACTGGCAAGAGCCTACAGTGGGATTCAGACCTACAGCCTCCCAGCATGGCCATCAAGGTCCCCTTCTCAGATTGGCCTGGGACTCGGGAGCACCAGGGATGTCCATGCTCATCCTGACACTGTCAATCACAAGGGCCCCAGGCTCTTGTCCATACCAGCTGGGCCTCCTCCCACTTCTCCCGGTTTTCCTCTGCCAGCAGGTTGCTGATGATCTGGACAAAGTTCTGAAAATAGGAAGAACCAGTGAAGGCGAACATGGTATTAGTGTGTGATTAGGATCTTGACTCAGCCTATAACTAGGACCAGGTCTCAGTGTATGACCAGGAGCACGGCTCAGCCTGACAAGGATCAGGGCTCAAGTGTAACCAGATATGAGGAGTCAGTGAGTGATCATGATCAGGACTCAGCCTGAGGCTCACTGACCCATGGCCAAAGCTGGGTCTGGGTCTCTGACTAAGGTCCAGGGCGGCCCCCAACCATTCTCCAAGGAACCCCTCTCCGCAGCTGCCCTTCCGGGAGCCCACCTGCACATCCCCTGGGGTGGGGCTATAGTAGGCCCTCCTGAAGATCTCAGTCATGTTCCTGAGGACGTCAATGGTGGACAGCAGGTCCCCACTGTAGCTGGTTCCGTCTTGAGAGATCTCCACCAGGGTCTGGATGACCTCTGAGACTCCCTCCCCTGGAAGCCCACGTTGAGCCTTGGCCAGGTGCTCTCGGGTCTGTGAAGGATGGAGAAGGCTGGATGTGTCAGCTTGCAGGGCCTTCCAAGCAGGAACTAGAGACCTTCCCCATCTGGAGAACACTCTGTAGCCTCCCCCTCCTCAAGTCCACAGAGTAGGCGTGGCTTGGGGAGGGGCCACTCTCACCATCATCTGAATGTTTCGGTAGTCAATGGAGATGCAGCGGATGTAGGTAGGTGGCTCCCAGTAGGCGATGCCCTCCTCGTCCAGCTCACAGCGCCGCAGGATGAGGCCTGGGGAGACCTCCCACGTCTCAGGTGGATGCTCACTGCCAGGCACAGGAGTCCCCACACAGCTCCCACAGGAGCCACTCTGCCTGGGCCCTCTGGCCTTGCTCCTGGAGACTGCACATTTCTGAGACACGTTGGGCATCTGCTCCAGGTACTCGGCACCCAGGGCTTTGGTGAGCCTGCTGCCTGGAGTGGAATCCTTGGCTGACTGGGAGGATGGAGGTTCAGCCAGCACCCTGGGGCTGCCATCCTGGTGTCCTGTTGTGCCCAGAGGGCTGCAGGGACTCACCAGCTGGGGACATGGGTGTCAACATCCTGGAACAAGGCTCACCCTGATAAAAGGCACTCCCAGAACACCCCAGAGGAGCAAGGACAACTAAGTGCACATGGCGGTGAATGTTCCATAGAACTTCCAGGGCCCTGTCATGCAACAGGCGCCTGAGGTAGCCTGATGCGGAATCTCTGAACTACTGATTTAGACAGAGACACAAAGTGGGGGTATAGAGGTGCCCACATGTGGCACCTGCACATGACATGGATTTTCTTCATCCTGATTCTGGGGATTTGCAAGATGCCAGCAATGACATGTAATGAAAAGGGAGGTGGGAACACCAAGCATGGCCCAGCACTTACTGCCATCCTGGTCCACTGTGAGCTACCCCCAACCAATCCCAACAACAGCCCACCTGGAGGATGGGAAAAATGAGGCTCAGAGAGGATGAGTCATTTCTAGAATGTCACATAGCACAGGGCAAAGACAGTGTTTGAAATTAGGCTTCCAACCTCCCTACCTGCTGCCTCTTAGGTACAGAAGCCGCCTTCCCTTCTTCAAACAGGAGCAATGGTGAAGACCAACACTGGAGAGCTGCCAAGCCCCTTTCCTGTGGCCCACTTTACTCTTCCACCCCCTAGCAAGTCTCCAGTCACTTCCTGGTGTGAGGATTATAATAACCACTGGCATTCATGGGGAACTCCTCCCCTGCCGGTCCTGCAAGCCCAGATAGTGTGTTGACTACACCGTGCCTCGGTTTCCCCACTGGTGGCAGTGGGGCTGTCTGAGCCCCAGGGTGCCTGCAGAGACTTCCCTATGAAGACAGGACAGGAACTCTGTACACTACTTGATGTCTGGCCCTCACCTGTGGCATTGCGGGGACACCGGACTGCAGCCACCTCTCCAGCTGGTGTGTCTTTCCATACCACGGCCCCATAGTTGTCCTCATCACAGATCTCATGGGGCTCTACCAGGAGACCAGAAACAAGGGCAGGAGTTTGGGAAAGGGCTGGGAGCTGGCAGTAGGGCATCCACTGTCCCAACTAAGCCAGAGTCACTGGCACTTCCTGCATTCTCCCCAGGGCCAGCCACAGCATGGGAGGGGTCTCACCGGGACACCGCTGGGTGCCGCACTGTCGGTACTCATCCTGCGGGCCTTGGCAGGCTGCTCCCCCGAAGAAAGGCCCGGAGCAGACACGCTCTCGGCGCTGGCTGCCACCCCCACATGTGACACTGCAGCTGCCCCATGATGCCCAGGCCTGCCATTTGCCATCCACTGCAGGGGGTAGTCAGACACAGAGGAACAGGTGATAGGGACAGAAGGGTGGGATCCAGGAGCAGCAGAGGTACAGAAACACTGGCCACAGGGACACAGAGACACAGGGACCCACAGGACCCAAGGATGTGGACAAAGGAACCCAGGGACGTAAGAGTTTGAGCAATCAGGAGAAAGAAAATTGAGACCAGGGAGGAGAAACCTGAGATCAGCTTGAAAGAATAAAATAAGCCCTCACATGGTGCCGTCCCCCACACATAGGCCCCATGTGCCTCAACTCCTCTTGGCCCACCCCTGGAACCCAGTCCACAACCTCCCCTAAGAGGGGCCTCCCTGACCTGGGCATTGCTGCAGGAAACAGTCTCGCGTCTCCACCCAGTGGCCCTGGCACTCAGCACCCCCATAGGAGGGTCCATTGCACTCCCTCGTGCGCTGCTGCCGGCCCTGAGAGCAGCTGGCAGAACAGGCGCTCCAGCTCGACCATTCATTCCAGTTTCCGTCCACTGCCCGGCCCAGAGGGAGGAAGGGGACAGGTACACAGTGTGAACACCCAGCACTCCACAGCCAGCCTGGGACACCATGTGAACACCCCCACAGCCACCAACCCACACCCCACCTGGGACATAGGTGAGAATGCCAGTCATGTCTCAACCTCCCCCCTGGGTACAGCCTGAGGATCCAAACTCAAGCACCCTGACGTGGTCTGGGGTAGGCAGAACTGGGCCACTCCCCCCAGCCGCTCCCTCTCACCTACCAGGGCACAGGGCGATGTTACAGAACTTGGTTTGCTTCTCCGGACCTTCGCAGGGGTTGCCTCCGAACTGGGGGGGCCTGCAGGTGCGCGTGCGGTCCCGGAAACCGCGGCCGCAGGTGCTGGAGCAGAGGCTCCAAGGAGACCACTCATCCCACGCGCCGTGCACTGAAAGGGGCGGGCGCAGACGCTGGTGCTCTCTGCCTCTGGCCAAGGCCCTG